GGTTTCCACATCTTCTCCACTGTTTGACATGATATTGTCCCCTATATGTGCGTATTTAGATAGTTTTTAACGTAAATGCAACCCCCCCCCCCCTTCTCCCACATCTGTCCCTCCTGAATAGGTTATACCCCTCTATATTAGTAGCCCAATCATGTTGAAGATCAATGAAAAAAATAACACCCTGCCAGAAAAACATAGGAACTAAGATCCCCAGTAGAGAGGTTCATGCTCATTGATGCTAGGCAAAAAACTGACCTGCCTGAGGCAGCTGGGGTGTGGTCATCAGCAAAATCCACCCCTCGGGTTAAGCTTCTTATGCTGTGCCTAGCATCCTACTCCTTTAGGTGGCGGTATAAGCCACTGGTTCAGATCAGAGATCAATCTCTCCGCTGTGTCCTTTAACCCCTTCGTGACAGGAGACGTACACTGTACGTCCCGGCACTTTGTGCCTATATGACTGGCCACGTACACTGTACGTGACAAGTTATATCAGGCTCTGTAATGCCGGTAACTGCTGATTCTCAGCGGTTACCAGTCATTAATGAATGCCTCAGTATTGAGTCATTCATTGATGAAATAGTTAAGCTTTTGTAAAAGCTTATTTCTTTAATTAATGAAAGAACGAAGCCGTTACGTGCAAATACGGGAGCGCTAAATAGCGCTCCGGTATTTGACAGCTGAAAATAGCAGAGAGGCAGCAGAGTGACTCACCTCCCTGCTATTTGTTTTGACAGCTCCATAGACTGGCCCGATGTTTATGAAGCTATGTGATACATCTCAAGCAAAGAGATACAAGAGGTACAATGTATCTCTTTGCTTGAAATGTATCATTTCTGATCGTCTAGGCATGATCAAAGAGCTTTAGTGAGATCTGAATCTGACATGCTGTCAGGATTAGTCTCTATGGTTATTATTAGCTGTTCCTAAGTAGAAAGAAAAAAAGATTTTACCATACACTATACACATTATAAACAGCATCCTAATGCACCCTGCCAATACACCATGATGGACAAATGTACGCTGTGGTGTTCTGCATTGGGACAAATGCTTCTTATACATTAAACCTTGCATTGTGGCGTATGAAAAATCAGGCCGTACTGTGCGAGTGGTACCACATTATACAAGCATACATGGAACCTCAGTCAGCTTCTGACCCGCATACTGGTTCTTGGTTCTGACTCAGATATGAAACTAGTGGAGCAGCATGACAGTCGATATTTTCGCCAGCACATATCAGTAAAGGCAAATCTATAGGTATATAATAGTAGTGTACAGGCCACTACTGCGCCTTATATCCCCCCAGCTGTCACATCTCATGACCGGACACGCCCACTGCTCTACATACAATGACAGCGCCTCTTCTGACTGCGTGGAACTCCTGACGTCACTTGACAGCGCCGATCAGCGCGTTTTCCATTGGCTGGGAACTTTCATGTCTACAGGATCTTTTGCTTTGAGCGTGTGAAGTTCTTCCGGGTCGCGTGGCTCCTCCCTGTTGCTGCGTTGCCAGGTTTCGGGATCCCGGAAGCGGATCTGAGTTGCTGCTGTGGCTCCTGTCCATGGTGGTGATGATAACGATGGCGACCGGTGCAGAAGAGCTTGAGGCCCGGGAGAGGCTCGCCCTTTGGGACCGGAGGAGCGAGCCCTTGGCGCCGTTGACAGACCGGCAGACAGACTCGGTGCTGGAGTTAAAGGCAGCTGCGGAGGAGCTGCCTATCCCAGCTGAGGTGAGAGACTGGGGCGCAGTGACAGCTAGAGGTGGAGGACTGACAGGTGTCTGTGTTGTGTGTGCTGTGCCTACAAGTGGGGAAGGACCCACTCTGCTTGTACAGCTTAATCCACAGAGATTTCACATGTAAAGTGTCCTTGCTGGGTGCCGGGCTGTCATGATGATCCAGTGGCTTCAATGATGAATGAGTTACTGATCAAGCGATGTCAGAGGTGCACATGATTTGCATGTCAAGTGAAGTATTGAGGTTATTGAATGAGTGTGACAGACAAATAACTTTCATTTTCACAAGTTGTGGTCAGCAATGACAGCCTCTATTTATCCTTCAAATGCTACATCCTCCTATTGGAGTCTGGCCCTATTATTGGGGAAGAGAAGGAGGACTTCCATACTGATCACCTGGCCCCTTGCATGGCTCCTCCTACTGTACCACCCTAATAGGACCCCCTGTAGTTTAGGGCCCATGTGTCAAACATGCATGTTTCGTATATTTTGACTCCCATGCATGGCCCTGATGATTGGACCCCCTTGTAGTTTAAAGTTATACTAAACTCACTTTTTTCAATAACGAATCCAGATCAAACAAATATACATTGCCCAGCAAAATATTTCTTTACATTTTTGCTCAAACATTTACCATCGTTCTTTTTCTAAAAGGCTCCAAATCTCAAATTGTCTTCCCTGAACTTCCTGTCCAGTACAAGATCACAAGTGACAGAACACAGTCTCCAGCAACTATCCATCTACTGGTTTCGAGAAGGGAGGAAGTAGGAGCGGGGAGGAGAGGATTGCCTTACCTTGCTGTGTCTTTTGTGTTTTGTGTAGACACACACAACTTACTAGCACACACAAGGGTGGCTCCACAGGACCCTGCAAGGGAAAAGAGACACCCTAAAACAGGATATCAGGGCCAGTGCTCAGGGGACCAGCTGATTCTACAGGAAACTATAAAGATTTTTTTACATTAATGAGCATCATCGTTTGGAAGTGATTTTAATCAGTAGTTAAAATAGTTTTAAAAGTTTTGAAAAACTGGTCTTTGAGGTTAATCTGGACTGTGCGGAATAAGTACAATATACGAGGAAGGATTAACATTTTGAACGCTGCCAAACGCCCTGGCCACGTTAGTTCACTTTTGCATAGTTTGAGCAGATCTCCTGGGAGCGCTGTCAGCAGTGGGGAGTAGTTCGCCCCAAACAAATCAGTGGTACGGGACGTCAGCTGTATACCCAAATAAGACATCCTATCTGTGGTCCACTTGTATCCATCTGTCATTCAGGTAGCAAGGTGGATCCTGACAATATTGTAGGTATCCGTCTCAGCTGCCTCGTGCCTCTGCATAGTTCTGTATTAATATTATTTTCAGGCCCCTTTTTGTAGAAGCAGAAGCTGTATGTTTATCCCAGCTCCCATACGTTTTTTCATGAATGCGTGGCTCCTGTGTGGAAGTGGAAGCTGCATGTCTACCCATCCTCACATAAGTTTCTGCCCCATGTATGGCCCCTAATGATAATACCCTCTTGTAATGTAGGACATCTGTCTAAAAGCAGAGGCAAAAAAAGGAGAACTATGAGGAGTGCTTTTCACTCACCTCATAGTTCTAGCCGACCTGTGACAATGAGACTGTCACAGGTTGGCTCAGTAGATCGGGAGGTGAGCGAACACATACCGGCGTTCGCTCACCTCTCGATCCTGTCATGGCTCTCTGCCTTGACAGGGGAGGGGCTGGACTCCCCCCCCCTCCCTGCTCCGATCCGTCAGCGCTGACTGGCGGAACGGACGGGGGAGGGGGCGGGTACAGTTGGCTCTGCCTCTAGATAGGCAGAGCCAGCCAGCACAATTGTCGGGATCCGCTTCAGCTGAGGCGTCTCAGTATACCGCGAGCAGCAGCTCGCGGTATACTGGGCCTAGGGTGACGTGAGGACGCTAGTTTGTGTCCTCCCGTTACCCTAAGGAGAACTATGGGGAGAAGCCTTAACCCCATAGTTCTCCTTTTTAAATTGACACTAAACTCAGGCGTTAAATCTTAAAAATACATTCTAGTACCTTTTTAACTAGTAACAAAAACGTATCGGATTTGGGTATCACTCAGCTGTAGATCCTCAAATCCTCTTTAAATTGGCGCTGACACTGTCCTTCCTTCTGGAGGGTGGATACTTTTGTTCCCCGTGGTCCCTGTGTGTGTTGTAAAGTAGTCACCGCACCAAGCTCGCTCCTGTGATGGACTATAATCTCAATACGAATGAGTAAACTAAACGTGAGATTGTAGTCCATCACACATCCTGGGCTTACAGTACTCAATGTCACTCACTGCGTGAGTGCCCCTCCATCCAGGATGACAGCCTCACTGGGAAAAAAGAGGAAGGACCTGTGATGTCACTAGACCAGTTGGAAGCTTACAGGAAAAAGGTATGTATGGGAGGGTTAGTTTGCACTTATAGCTGGAGTTCCAACTTGATACTAAATAAACAAATAGATTTATGCTAGTTGTCCTTTAATGCTTAATTCCGGGTAGATATTTAAAAATGAATGGTATTCGTGGATAATGAATTTATAAAAAAAAGTATATATTTTTAATTGCAACTAGTGTAAATATCTGAATTTGTAGCTCTGACTGAAAGGAAGAGAAGGCAGAGAGATGACCATCAGTCTGTTGCAGCTACTTTACTGACCACTTGCAGCAATAAACAGTCAGTTCAACATGTTGGTTGTGCTGTGTGGCAGAGCTGTGTAATCCTCAAGACAAAAATACAAATCCTTAGGTGGGTTAACCAGCTCCCATATGTGTATGGTGCATTCAGCTGTTTAGCTGGAGTTCAGCTTTATAGTGTAACGTTACCTTTTGGTCCAGTAACACTTATTGTATATTGTACCACCCCAGGGGCAGGAAAAAGGTTAAAGTAGTATTAAAGTCAAGAAGGAAGTGTATGCGGACGCATGCGCAGTCCAGATCGTCGGCGGTGAGAGGAGGAGAGCAATGCTGAAGCTGGATGGATGCAGCCGGGAGCGCGCACATTGGACAGACTACGTGGGACAGGAAGAAAGAGGGGTCTGTGGTGGATCAGAGACCGGCACCAGCACTGGAGGCACTGCGGAAAATGAGTGGAAGGCTGAAGCTGTTTGGATCAAGAGGCATCACATAAGTTAAGTCCTTAAAGCAGCATGAGGGGGGGGGGGGATAACCGGCTATAATGTCATTTTAAAGGTAAAACGAAAAAAGTTGTTGGCTATGTGTGCTGGTGATAACTGTTACAAAAATAGTACATTTTATAAAACTGATTATGTCATCTGTATGTATCTTAAAAATCTTTCTTACTAAAAAGCACGCTTCAGTGCAAAACGTGTCAGCGTGACCCCTGCTACTGTTTAAATAAAATAAAAGTTGCTGCAGCCCGGAAATTCGTTTCTGACTGATCTGCCGGAGTGCAATGTGCTGGATTAACATTTTGCAGTGGAGTCTCTGATGAGCTACTTACCTTGAGCTGTATACATATCTCCTTGTGGATAATGTCACATTGTGTCATCTGTCACTGTGTAAGAAAATTACATAGGATATAATAAAGAATGGTTCAAAGAAGAACTCCAGTTAAGCAATTTATTAACCCTTGCAGTAGGGCTACCCCCACACTGGAAGGGTTAAGTGCTCATTTGTGACTAGGTACTAAAAAAAAAAGTTGCCCAGCAGACTATCCAAGCTGGCTTGTTCTTAGACCGGTGTCTCAAGCGTCTCTCCCCCTCTGCAGCAGTCTAAGGATCCAGTGTCATCACGCTCTATACACTGTGCATAGATGTGAGGATGCCGAGGGGCCACACTTCAGTGATCACAGAGGCAGGGAGCCGGCTCGGATGAGCTAATGAGTATAACTTTTTTTATTTTTTAGCACCCAGACAAAAACAAGCGCTTATCCCTTACAGTGCAGGCGTAGCCCCACTGGAAGAGTTAAGAAATTTTTTAACTAGAGTTCTTTAAAAAAAAATATTACAGTGCACTATGTTATGACAGCCAGTCATATCTGGAGTGCCTAGAATCCCAAGGAAACTGAAACATCAAATGGATTTTCATATATTTCACTGGTTCTCAACCTGTGTAACCTCAGGACCCACATTTGTCCTCGGTCATTAAGTCGTGACCCAAGTTGCACCGCACTGGAATGCACAGCATTGTGGAACTGCGTGTTTCAGTGCGGGCGATTGAACTGTCGGCGAGAGGTGCATTTGGGGAGCCATTCAAAAGAATCGCAATGCACCTCCCAAACCAAAACGCGTGGTAGGTGCGATTACGTGGAGCAGTGCGTTAATCGCACAGGACTGTTCAATTAACACACTGTAAACATACTATGTCCTCAATTATTTACATGCCATTGGTGATCAGCTGACTGCTCGTAATCGCTCTCTACCCTGACTCCTTCAGCTGTCACAAGAGGCTGAGCTGGTGGTGTGGGGAGGAGAGCTCAGCCTCCTGTTACATGGCTGACAGCTGTCTCCTCCCCCGCCTCGGCCTCCTGTGACAGCTGTCTCCTCCCACCACTCTCCATCCTGAGTCTCTGCCTATCACAGGAGGCTGAGTGGGGTTGGGCAGGGAAGAGAGCCCAGCCTCCTGTGACTCAGAGGAGCACCCATCGGGGAGGAGAGAAACCATGGATGCACCACAATTTCAGCCGAAAAATTGTACTTTTTACCCAAAGTACCATTTGTGGCCGTTATGTTTCGGTGCATCCCTAATATAGTGTGTGTTTTGTTGTGCTTGCTAGGGAGTTGATATACAATTCTCAATAAATTCAGCCAAAAAGTGTTTGCACTTTTCTCTGTAATGACTTCTCAGTCCACTTGATGTGGAATACAAATGCTAATTTGTTTTAGAAAGGTTGTAGTGTAGTAAGGTTCAGCGTAGAATTATTGTGGCTGCCAGAAATATTTTCCCCTTCTTTGGGGGACCAATCATAGTTGTCCTTGTGAGTCGTTTTAACGCATGTGATGCACACGAGCGGGCAAAAAAAAAATGAACCTGCAGCATTTTTCCAGCCAGCGCACCACAATGCATTGCTGTGCATTACCATGGACCAACACAGGTATTGTTCTTCCTGATAGAGATTTATATATTTTGAGGGTTATTTCTTTTCCTTATACTTTAACGTACTCATGCTGAGCATATGACATTGCATACGAAAAATAGAAAGGATGTAAAAATAAAGTATACAACTCCTAAGGAGTGCTTATATGAGAGATGAGAGATTCATTGATAGTAGTATGTATGTCTTTCCATGGAGTCCAATTGTCAAATCGAGGCCCACTATGCAGGAAAACTTTGTGTTCTTGGAGGCACTGAAGAAACCCGTAGTATAGTAAAAAGGTAGAAAGCTCAGCATGGAGTAGGTATCACAAGATCCCCATTCTATATTTAAAGTGACAGTAACCCCGCAGATTTTTAACATAAAATACTGTAATGTGTGCCTTACTGTAATCCATGGTTGTTTCCCTTCTCTTTGCTGCTCTTCCTTTTAAATCTGTATCTGTTCTCATGCTGGGCAGAACTTCTGTTTTGCGGCAGACTGCCTTGTCTCAGGAATGGGTACATGGTAGTAGAGCTGCAGCTAACGATTATTTTCAAAATCGATTAGTTAGCCGATTATTAAGTTAATTATTTAGTGGTAGTGAGGGGAGGAGAGTATCTGGAAAAGGGGAACAGCGGAGAAGAGAAAGGAAAGGAGAGAAAAGTGGGAGAGAAGGGTAAAGTCTGAGTATTGTCCCGTTGGGTCAGAGTCGCTTCTGTTTATTTCTGGGCTTAACATGAGTGGATAGATTTATGTTTGTTGGTAAATCAGAATCGCTGCTAGTAACACCAGGTTTTCCAGAATTTTGTTGTGTGAGGGATGATATGAGATCCTCCATAATGTCATTGACTGTGGAGACCCATTGGCCAATGGAGGAGGGTGATGAATCTTTCCCTTTTGGCTACTATATAGGATCTAGCAGCATTCAGAAGATGGATTAGTATGGAATGCCTATACTGTATTTTTGGAGTTTGGCTGATTTGGAGAAGGGAGGCAGCAGGGTTATCTCCTTAGATGAGCCCTATGAATGTGATAATCCATTTCTTTATTTCTCCCTGGTATGGTTGCAATATTGGGCAGGACCAGAATACTTGGAGGTTATTTAAAAGTGACAAATAATGCTTTTCATTTAGGTATGCTTTCCCAAACTTTTCCTAATTTGCTCTCAAGTTTATAAGTGCTTGACATGGATAAGTGTGTTGTGGAACAAAAGCGGCCACCCTCCAGAAGGAAGGACAGTGTCGGCACCAATTCAGAGATGATTTGAGGATCTACAGCTGAGCGATGCACAAATAAGATATATTTTTGTTAATAGTTTAAGGTCCTTGAATGTATTTATAAGATGCAACTCCTGCGTTTAGTGTCACTTTAACCTCTTGCCGTCCGCCCGTAGTAAAAAAACGGACGGACGGCACTGCTGCATCTGCGGGTTGCCGTCTCCAGACGGCAATTTTTTTCTGCTCGCGCGCGCCCCCTAGCGGGCACGCACGGGCAGAAAAGACCCGATCAATGCACACACCCGTTACCGGGTGTTTCACATATAGGCGATCAGCGGGTCCATAGCCCGCCGATCGCCTATATGTGCTCGTTCGCGGCACCGC